GTAACCATTAGTGCTTGTCTCTTTTTCAATTCTTATAAGTAACTTCCAGTGGGACATGATCTCACTCATCTAGGGGAAATGGTAAACAACATAGACTGAAGAACAAGAACAGACCCAGAGATAAGGAGCCATGGGTCAGAGCCACATGTGTCAAACACAAGGCCCGCGGGCCAAATCCGTCCCGCCAGGCCTTGCAATGTGGCCCGCACCGCGCTGTCATCACTGCACTCCGCTGCGTTTCCATCACAATGACAGTTTATGACTGTTCAGTAAACCATTCGGCCCTCGATTTAGGCTGGATTTTAGATTTTGGCCCCTTCTCTGATTGAGTTCGACACCCCTAGGTCAGACTGTCGGACCTCAGAGGGAGGATGGGGAGGAAAGGGAGAGATCAACCAAAGGACTTGTGTGCACACATATGAGCCTAACCAGTGCTCAAGGACAATAGAGGGGTAGGGCATGAGTGGGGAGGGGTGGGGGATTGGAATGGGGGGTTGAGGACTAATATGTGATACCTTAATCAATAAAGAAATTAAAAATGTATATTAATGCACAGAAACCCCATTCTAGCTGATTCCTGAGAGCAGGGTCCCTGTGCCAAGATGGTGCAATATGGAGTCGGGAGTTGAGGAAGAGACTAAGGTGCCAGCCTGCTTCCCCTCCACCCGTCTACTCTGCTCTTGGGAACCTCTTCTCGGCAGTCCTGCCGGGCAGCACCGAGAACGGACCGTCTGTCTGTCTGGGGGGTAGGGAGGTGCTGCCTTTCCCCAGGGAAGGCTCAGCGCGGGCTCCTGCCGGGGCCCTGAGGCCTGGCCGGGGGTGAGGGCCGCGGGCACGTTGGCAGGACCCACCACACCTGGTGTCCATGTCTCCTGGCCCATCAGGCGGGGAAAGCCCCCGGTGTATCTGCACTGGCCATCCCTCTGTGACGACCTGCATGCACTTGGACACAGGCCACAGCCCAGCCAGCGACCAGCAGCTCCAGCTCCAGCCTGTGACGTGGCTGCAAACCCCTCCAAACAGCCAGAGGAAGGCGGGGAAGAGAGGTCCTCTCACCGGCCTGTGGGTGTCTGTGGAGTCCCCACGCGCCAAGGGTCCCCGTAGGGACCAGCTGCGCCCGGAGGCCAGGGTGCAGTGTGTTCTTTTTTATTTTTACATGTTTATTGACTTCAGAGAGGGAGAGGGAGAGAGAGAAACATCCAGAATGAGAATCATTGATGGGGTGTCTCCTGCATGCCCCCACTGGGGATCAAGCCCACAGCCTGGCACGTGCCCGGACCGGGAACCCATGACCTCTTGGTTCCTAGGTCAATGCTCAACCACTGAGCCACTTCAGCTGGGAAGGGGTCTGTGCGGAGCGGGAGGGCCCAGCAGGGGAACTGGGCATGGTACGGGGTCAGACAAGCTCGGCGTGTGCTCCGTGCGGGTGAGCAGGGAAGGACGCGGCGAGGGGCAGGCCAGAGACCACAGGGAGTGACACTGCGGCCCCTGCAGCCTGGGCGATGGGAGGACAGTGAGGTGACGCCCCAGTGCCCACATCCTGCCGGAGGTAGCCGCTGCCTCAGGACTGGTGGCCACTAGGCCTTCCCACAGCTGGCAGGGTCCCTGTCACCTTTAGAGCCACCTGTGGCCTGTGGATTCACCTGTCACCTATGGGGTCACCTGTGAGGTCACCAATGCCTGTGAGGTCACCGTCACCTAGAGTCACCTGCCACCTGTAGTGTCACCGCCATCCACAGGGTCACCTATGGGGTCACCGTCGCCTGATGGGTCATCTGTCACCTGATACACTGCCTGTGGCGGGAGAAGGCCATGGACACTGGGTGTGGACACTGACAAGGCAAATCTCGCAACGGACATGGGCCATGGGGACGCGCCATGGTCTAAACACAGCAGCCAGGCAACGGCACGCCAGGCGCCCCAGGCCGCGCACCTCCTCCACAGCCAGGCAGCGTGGGGTGGCAGTCATTTACATGCAATAGTCGTAACTATGTCTGCTTAGTGCGGTGGTTGGCAAACTGCGGCTCGCGAGCTACATGTGGCTCTTTGGCCCCTTGAGTGTGGCTCTTCCACAAAATGCGACGGCCTGGGCGAGTCTATTTTGAAGAAGTGGCGTTAGAAGTTTTTAAAGTGTGGCTCTCAAAAGAAATTTCAATCGTCGTACTGTTGATACTTGGCTCTGTGGACTAATGAGTTTGCTGACCACTGGCTTAGAGCATTAATTCACACGTATAACATGCTCATAAACACCGAGACAGACCCAAAACCAGCAGCAGCCGCCCTGGCCAGTCGCTCAGTGGTTAGTGTTAGCCTGTGCACCAAAGGGTCTGGGGTTCAATACCCAGCCAAGAGCACGTACCTGGGTTGTATGCTCAATCCCTGGCCCTGGTCAGGGCACATACAGGAGGCAACCAATAGGTGTGCCTCTCACATCGATGTTTCTCTCACCCTCCCCCTCTCCCTCCCTTCCATTCTCTCTAAAAATCAATGGAGCCCTCGCTGGTTTGGCTCAGTGGATAGAGCCTGTGGACTGAAGGGTCCTGGGTTCAATTCCAGTTAAGGGCACATGCCTGGGTTGTGAGCTCAGTCCCCAGAAGGGGGTGTGCAGGAGGCAGCTGATCAATGGTTCTCTCTCATCATTGAAGTTTCTCTCTCCCTCTTTCTTCCTCTTTGAAATCAATACAAATATCTTTTTAAAAATAAGAAAAAGGGAAAAATATCCTTGGGTAAAGATTAACAACAAAGAAAACCAGCAGGAGCCACTGTGGAGGCGGGTGTGGCAGCTGAGGAGGAGGAGGAGGAGGGGAGGTGGGTGGGGAGGACTCCAGGCCCCGGGACTGGGGGGGAGGTGTGGCCTGAAGCAGGCGGGGTGCAGGGCCCGGCAACCTCGTGTGGACCCCGTCTGGGGCCTGTGTAACTGCAGCTCCCACCCCACTTCACACTGAGGCCCAGGACTGCGTCAACTGTGGAAGGAGTGAGATGGCCAGGCCACGGGCACAGCACCGCCCAAGCCGACATGCCCACAGAAGCCCAGGCTCCCCTCTCCGCCCGCCCCGGGCTGACAGGGCACATGAGGGACAGGCTGTCCCTGGGCAAAGGGCCCAGCGTGCGCCCCGGGACAGCAGCGTTTCCCAGGGGGGCCTCCAGGCCTGGGGCTCCGGCGAGGCCGGCCAGGCCGCCCCGGCGGGCAGGGCTGGGGCCCCTTGTCGGGCCACCTGGGCCTCTCGCTGGGCGATGGCTCCTCAGAGAAACAACTTTATGACGAACACCGGACTGAGTTTGTTCCCTGAGAACCAATGCCCGAGGCGAAGCCTGGGAGCCGGCGCGAGGTGAGCAGCGGCACCGGCCGCACGGGCGTGCCAGGGCCTCTGTGGATGGCCAGTGGCAGGGACAGGGAGTGCTGGAGGGTCAGGGAGGACTGACCAGGAGGCGGGGCACCCTGGGCGGTGTGCTTGGTGGCTGAACCCCTCACACCCGCTCCTGCTCTTGCCCCCGACGCCTCGGCCACAGGGGGTGCCGCTCCGGCCGTGGGCCCTCCCCTCGGACGGCAGAAGGAACAGCAGGCGCCAGGGCACCAGCAAGGCATCTGCGAGGCGCCGTCACGCCCACGGGACAGGCAGGGAGTCCAGTGTGGGGGGCGGTGGTCCCTGACACACACACACACGTGGGAGCGCATCACAGGCGGGAGCGGGGCCTGCCCACACCTGCCCCGCGAGGCCGCTGTGGGCGGCGGGGCCCAGTGCCAGGCACCGGGCGCTGCCAACAGGCTCAGGGAGCGCTGACCCGGGAAGCCCCCCAGCGACGGGCTGCTGTGGACAGTGGCACCTGGAGAGCCGCGGCGAGCCCTCGGGGCAGGAGCTGGAGCCTGCCGCCCAGGTAGAACCCCGGGCCTTGGGGTCTGGGCGCCACCGGCCAGGGCACCGCTGGGCCAGGGCCGCCGCGCACCCTCTCCCTCTGCACACGGAGACTTGCCTACAGCAGGGCGAGCGCCGACCGTCCCGACAGCCCAGAGCAGGGCAGTGGCCGCGGAGCGGGCCCGCTGTGTGCCCTGTGGGCGGAGCCAGGCGGGCAGAGGTGTGGGAAGGTCTGCCCTGGGCAAGCCGCCCAACCAGGGGTGACAAGAACGTAGACTAAGGTAACCAGATGCCCCAATTTTTAACCATTTGTCCCGCATCCCACTGTGTTTTAAAAGAATCTTTCCAAAAATTGGGACTGTTTTAAAATGTCACAGGACGCGAGACAAATTGTTAAAAATCGGGACTGTCCCGCCAAAAGTGGGACGTCTGGTCCCCTTAACGTAGATCCCACCCACTAAAACCTATTTTAGCAAAAAGAAGATGGGGTGTGACAGCTGGCCCGCCTCGGCCCCATGTCTCCAGGTGCGAACGCGGTTCAAGGGTGTCCCATGTCCTCACTGCAAGGGGCAAGGGGAGGGTTCGGGCCTCCAGGCAATTTCCTGCGAGCATGCGAGCACTCCACAGTCCGGTTGGAGGGTTTGGCAGCTTAATCCTCCCAGCACCGGCCGAAGGCTCTGCCCCAGATGTGACCTCAGCAGGTGAGAGGCAGCCCGGCCGGCGTGAGGACCCTCTGCGGGCGCTGGGCCTCTCCGGCTCACGGGGCTGGCCCCGCGGCGGGCAGAGGCCCCACGGCTGCACCAGCACTTGTCATGTCGGGGCCTGGAGTATTCAGGGCCCTGACGCCACCCCAGACGCTGCTCCAGGGCAACTGGCCTCCAGGGACAGCGAGGGACAAGTGCCATGAAACCATCCCTCCCGGTCCCTCAGAGGCTCCAGTGACAGGATGAGCCCCACTCAGGACAGCGGCACCGGCCTCCGGGGCAGCCGGTGGCCACGGGCAGGATGTTCGGGAGCCGTGTCCCCCGAGGCTGTTCAGCGGGTGTCACCTCAGAATCCAGCCTTTGCCCCCAAACACCCCCTCCCCCCGAACTGAGCCGGCGCCCGCTGAGGCCAGTGCGGCCGAGGCGTGAAGGAGCCGCGGCGGGTGGTGCTCACACTTTATTCCGTGCGGGCCGGCCCTCGGCGCCCACGCAGGAGCCGCCCGTGGCCGCCCCGGCCGCGGCTCAGCGCTGCAGGCCCGAGGTGCTGGCATTTTACGTCACATCCACACGTTTCACAATTGCTGTTTGCACGGGGGAGGGCAGGCGGTGGACAGCAGGTCTTTGCGAAGGGTCGTCACGGGGCAGCGGGCCGTGCAGAGAAGGCAGAGCGAGGCCGGCAGACAGGAGGCCGCGTCCGCAGCTGAAACTCGAGCTCCTGTCTGCGGGCGCCCGCGGGCCGGGCAGCCGCCTGCTCCCAAGCTCGGAGCAAAGCTGGGGAGGGCCCCGGGCACGTGCTCCGGGGCCAGGGGGGGAGGGAAGGAGGGACGGGCACCGCGCCCACTCCGAGGCCGGGGTGCCAGCTCAGTGAGGTGGCGGACAGGACCGCCCGGCGTCAGGGGTGATGTGTTACTGGAGTCACTACACTCACCACCTCCGGCTCCCCCACCCCGGGACAGCCCGGCACCGTCTACCGCCAGTCCCCAAAGCTAGCGGCCGCCCCGTTGAGAACAAGCAAGAGCCCTGACCGCTGCCCAGGCATCGCTGTCTGGGTGCTGGCTGAGGCCGTGGGCTGAGGGTGGCGGGCGGAGCGGGCCCCATGGCGCACACACCGCGCCGGCGCCCGCTCTAGTGCTGCCCCTTGGTCGCCTTCTTCTTCTTGGACTCGTCTCTGTGCTTCGGCTTCTTCCTCTTGCCGCCTTCTTTCAGTCCTAGGGAGACACGGCTTGTGAAACACTGCGCGCAGCTCCCCCACACCACTGTCCCGCCGTGGCACGCAGCCACAGAGCCCGCCTCCGCACACGGCCGCGCCCACGCCCCAGGCACAGCATCCCTGGCGTCCGCGCCCCCACCGGAGTCTGCCCTGCGGGACCAGCACCCCGCTGCCCGGGGGTACCCCGGCCCTCTGCCCGGAGCAGCTCTGCATACACGGGCGAGGCCTGTGGGGACGGCCACCCGGCACCGAGGAGCTGAGCTACGCAACATCCCACAGCGTCTCCGGCCCCGACCTCAGCCGCCCACTCGGGGGACGCAGCTCAGTGGCATGGCAGGTGTCACAGCCCGTGGCTGGGTCCCTCAGGCTCCTGTGCAGCAGTGCGCCTGCTCTCGCTGGCCGGCACAAACACCAGGCTCGGCGCCTGGGTTCTCGGCGGGGCCTTGGCCAGCCTCCACCCGCGCCTTCCAGCAGGAGGCCGCAGCCCCCGAGGTGAGGGCGGGCGCCCCTGCTGGCGGGGCCGCTGTGGGGACACGGCCCCTGTCCCACGGCCCAGAGGACCAGAGCCGCGGGGCCCTCGCTGCGTCCCGACGTGACTGCAAGGAGCGGGACGTGACGAGGCGGCTGAGGCGCAGGGGAGGCCCGAGGCTCGTGGGAGGCCGGACACCCCACCAACGTGCGGAAAGGGGAAGGCCTCTCACTCCGATTCTTATCCAGCCTGCGTTTCTAAGTGTAAGAGCACCGCAGGTCCGGCCAGCATGGCTCAGTGGCTGAGCATCGACTTAGGAACCAGTTGATTCCTGCCAGGGCACATGCCCGGGTTGTGAGCTTGGTCCCCAGTGGGGGGCGTGCAGGAGGCAGCTGATCGGTGATTCTCTCAGTGATGTTTCCATCTCTCTCTCCCTCCCCCTTCCTCTCGGAAATCAATAAAAACGTATTTAAAAGAACAAAGACCAGTGGGGTGCTCGCGGGTCAGGACTGGAAGGAAACACGGGCAGACCCCGCACGTGTGCGGGTGAGTGGCAGGGCTCCTTGTAGAACAACTCCTCTGCCATTTCCTTCAATGCTCAAGGTTCACATTCATTTAAACCACACAGAGCAGGAAGACGTGGGCCGGCCTCCAGGGATTTCGAGGGGACACGTGGGGCTGGAAGGAGCAGCGCAGGCAAGCAGCCAGGTTCACTGCGGACAAGCTCCACCCCCACAGACCTGCGCCCAGCCCCAGCCTTCAGCCCGCAGCGAGGGCGCGGCTGCAGGTCCCAGCAGAGTTAAGGGCATCCTGGCCCGTGGCTCAGTTGGAACGTTGTCCCAGGTTGTGGGTTCGATTCCCAGTTGGGGTGTGGGTAGGAGGGAACCAGTCAATGTTTCTCTCACTCGCTCTCTCTCTTCCTCTCTCTAAACATAAACGTAAAAGTGTTTAGCAAGAGTTAAGGACGGAGACCCTCATTCCTGAGTTTTCCCTGCGCATGAATTTCTCAGTCCTTCCCGCAGCCACACCTGTGGGAGCGTGCCTCACGCAGAAGCCCACCTCCCGTCCTCCTGGCCACTACTGGTCCTGAGCTGTGCAAGGGCACACGCGTGACGTCAGAAATGAGCCGTGAGCTTTATCCATCAGAGTGGAAGGCAACACACGTTAAGAAGTCAATGCTTGGCTCTGGATAAAGCGTCAGCCTGCGGTCTAAAGGGTCCCAGGTTTGATTCTGGTTGAGGACAGATGCCCGGGTTGTGGGCTCGCTCCCCAGTGAGGGGAGTGCAGGAGGCAGCTGACCGAGGATTCTCTCTCATCATGGATGTTTCTCTCTCTCTCTCCACCCACCCTTCCTCTCTGAAATCAATAAAAATATATATATTTTTTAAAGCCAAATGCCAGCAACTGAAGCTGCTTCCTTTGCCCCTGCTGCCGTGCCGGGCCTGGGGCCCAGAGCCAGGGCCAGGGCTGTCACCGGACGGCCAGGCCCCTGCATCCTGCCGCCACACGAGCCGCGCGGGCCTCCCCCAGCGCCCGGGCCTCGCGGAGCCTCCGCTTCGGTCCCAAGGAGCCCGGCAGCACTGCCCCGCTTCCTCGACAGGAACGTCACAGGACTTGGATATGGCGGACGATGACCAGGCCAGCTCAGGGAGGGGCCGGCAGCTGCGGGAGGGCCCCGCCATGGCCGCTGCGGAGGGAGCTGCCGGCCGCCGCGCCCTGCAGGGCCTCGCTGCCCCCTCCTTGCTCCTCCTTCAGGCACTTCTACCGCCTGACCGCTCGCTGAATGTCTGTGGGAGAGTCACGCCTTTAATTCCGTGTGACACGCTCAATCTTCTCAACGTCTCATAAGTTGATTTTAAAGGAGGAAACAACAAAAATGTTTCACTCCAACATCCAGAAATGCTCCCCGGGGGCTGGGTCCCCAGAGCCCGCGCTCACAATGAGATGCCCCCTCCCTGCGGGACCCACAGGCCCAGACTAGACACTAAGGCACGTGGTTTCAGAGAATGGCTCCATGTCCTCTGCTAATGCTGGCGCCCCCGGGTTCTCCGGCCTTCCAGGCCACCGGACATGCGGACACGGCCTGGCACTGGACTGCATGTGGCTTCCGCCGGCCGGCGGGCGGCGGCCCTGCCCTGGGAGACTAGACTGCCTGGACCACACGCCTGCCTCCTGGGAACTGGGGCATCCTGACCAGGGTCTGAGCTGTCCTGTCCGCCCACTAAATCACTGCCCCGCCTGCACGCCAGCCCCCGAGCTCCAGGAGCGGACAGGGAATTCTGGCCAACAGCCAGTCACGGCCAACGGGTCCTTCCTGAGGCCCTCGGCCGTCCCCCGTGGCTCCTCCCCGGGGCCAGGAGGCGTGGCTGGCATGGCTGGCCCCAGGGGCGGGCTCCGTGCAGGGGGTGGGGGCATGGGTGGGACACTTCCTTCCACCCCAGAGATGGATTTCCATAGAAACCTATTTCCGCCCTAAGTCACGGAGTAAACCTCACGCTGTCTTACACAGAAGACCAAGGTGAGCCTTTTCCTCCCACACGGCCTGCAGGACAGCTGCACCCTCAGAGCCCCCGGGACCTGGAATAGGAACACAGCCCCTGGACCTGGAGCAGGCCCCCGAGAACCTGAGGCAGGCAGCAGGGGGAGGCCGTCAAGGCCACCAGCCCGCAGGAAGCAGAGCCCGCAGGAAGCAGAGCCCGGCGGCCTGCGCTGCTTGGCCGGGGAAGGGGCTGCCTGGGGGGCCCGTCCCAAAAGGAGCACGGAGGGTGGCACCTGCACCCGTGCCAAGACAACACACTTCATACAGAAGGTGGCACCCCGTTTTAATCGTGGGGTCTCCGAGAGGCGCCTCCCCTACCTGCAAGGTCAGCTGACCGGCCGCACCTGCCCATCCTGCCCATCAGGTGAGGACACAGCACAGCAGTGATTTCTGTCCTCGCTGGCCTTGGGCAGGACGGGGCACGTCCCTGGGGGGGCGCTCTGCCTCAGTTTCCCTCCGCACACCTGCTGAGGTGGAGGGCTCCCAGTGGCTGGCGGCCCGCTGGCGGCCCGGCTCGTCGTCCTCCTCGTGCTTGGGCGGCGGGGCGGGCCTGGGGGGCCGCAGGGGGCGGGCGCTGGTGCCGGCGGGCTGCTCCGGCAGCGCGTGCTGGCCTCGGAGCCGGCAGGCCTCCCGGAAGGCGTCCTCGTCGGCCACACCTGCAAGGACAGACAGGGCGGCGTGAGCAGGTGGCCCTCGCTCTGGAGCAGGACGCTGCCCGCCTCCTCGGGTGCAGGGGCTGCACGTCCGAGGGAACGGCCGTGAGCGCCGCCTGCCCGCAGGCCCAGGGCACTCGGGGCCCCGGCTGGACCCGCCTCCGACTCACCGACTCTAGAACCTGCACCAGGCCCTGCCCGCCCAGCGCTGTCACCATGGCGGCACCGGAGGCCGGTCCGTCCCACCACGGCACTGGCGTCAGCCAGCCGGACGCCCGCCCCTCCCGGGAGTCCCCCGGCCGAGCCGCGCGCCTCTGGTCTTCCCCTCGAGGGCCGCGCCGCCTCGGAGGCCAGGAGCCCTGGCAGCAGGCAGACTGCAAGTTCACCCTCTCGGCAGCTTTTGATAGTCATGCTTCCCGAGGCAGGATGCCCTGGCGGCTGTCCTTGCCCCACGCCGTGCCGGTACCAGCTGTGGCTCCAGGTCCGTGCACGGTGCTAGGACACAGCTGGGGCCTGAGGCCCGCGGCCTGGGCAGCTGGAGCTGCTGACCTCGTGCTGGGGGCCGGCACCTGAGCTCCAGGCAGTGTGGGAGCCTGGAGGCCAGTCCTTGGGTCTGAGCTGGGAGGACGGCTCCATCCTCACAGGAGCCTGTCCGCGGGACCCAGGCACACCAGGCAGCTTGCTGGGAAACGCTGGGCTCTCAGTGGCCTGTCTTCTGGGTTTGCATTTCAGAGGATTTCCAAACTGTATCCAGTTCCGTTTTATTAAACCTCCGACCTGCACAGACCTGAGCATAGCTGCCACCAACACGCACATGGGCTTTACAGCTGGGGTCCAGCTCGTGGGATATGCCCTTGGTGCCAGGCCTCACCCTGTACCCATCACACCCCCACCCGTTTCCCCGACGTCACACCAGAACTCACAGCGCCCCCCACCCCCATCAGATCCCCCTGCGGGTGAACTGGTGTTGGCTGGCGTCCGACAGCCCTTCCCTCGAGGACCCGCCCGCCCGCCGAGCTGCTCCCTAGGCAGGCAAGCAGCACCAACTGCCCAGGCCCCAGAATATAAGGCGCTGAGCTCCTGGCATCACACGGCAGCGCTTGGACCAGCCCTGGGAGCGGCGCCGCCAGCCTCGCCTGAGCGAAGACAGAGGCCTGGTGGCTGTGTCCTGTGCTCAGGGCCCATCACTGTGGCGTCCAAGGCAGGCAGACACCAGGAGAAACTTACACGAACCCTGACCCAGGTCACGTCCTGGGGACAGACAGCGGGTGCCCCACGTGTGGCAGCAGAGGGTCAGGACCCCCTGCCGCCTGAGGCCCTCACGCCAGGTCACCCCCACTGTCACAAGAGTCGCTGCCCACCAGGGTGGCAGTGTCAGGCCTGAGTCTGCCCCGTGCGGCTGAGCCTGAGCTGTATGGTGCGGGGTTGGGGGGGGGGGGATTGGCAGACCCCAGAGTGTATCCACAGTCCCACTTACCTCGCCAGCAGGGTCCCGCTCCTCAGGGGGACTCCGGGCCCAGTCCACCCTGCAGCCCCGAAACGGGAAGGAAGGAAGCGGTGGCATTGGCGCACACCCACGGCGGAAACCCACGTCCACGGACGCTCATCACCGTGTCCTGCACAAGCAGCACGGCAGCCGGGCTGGGCTGGCCGGGCAGCACGTGGCGGGACTTGGCAGGGCCAAGATGCGTGCCCCCGGGCCCCTCAGATCCATCACCTGGTGGGAGCCCGGGGGCAGCTGTGCACCAGCCAGGCCCTCCCTGGATGACACACACCCGCTGGGTCAGAGGTGACACTACCTGTCCCCTTGCTCAGGGACCACCTGCTATGTGTCTGCGGTCCGGAAAAGTCACTCAAATGTTCCACGTGACGTTCTGAGAACACCCAAATGCAGAGAAACACCAGACCCCTCTCCACGTTCCCAGGAGCCCAGCCTGGGCAGGGTGGGACACTGCGGGGGGGGGGGGGGGGGGGGATGTGCACACCACCCTTCCTGGCAGCCTTCAGATGGAACGTGCAGAGTGCCTGCCCCTGCACCCGGGCTCTGCCCGCTGCGCAGTGCTACTGCATGTCCTGTGATCAGCGGCGCCGGCGGCCGGGCTAAGCTGGGCCTGGGGGCCCGGTTCCACGTGAGCCACAGAAATGGGGGACACACCACTGAGCCCAGTCTCTGCGAGTCCCGGACGGACTTACCTGCATGGTCAGCCTGAAGACACGTGACCTCTCGGTGCCCGCCTCCCGCCCTGCTCTGGGGTCCAGGGCCTGGAGCAGGGCCCCAAAGCCCCAGGAAAAACCACTTGAGGACGGGAAGTAACGGTGGAGAGTCATGAAGACTAGTTCCTCTGCTCACCCAGAAGCTTTCATTGGCCGCTACTCGAGGCCACAGGACCCCGAACCCCTTCATCGCGTGTGCACGCCCCCAGGCCCCCGCAGAGCGACCCTGAGCTGTAGGCGACACTCACTCCATGTGAGTCTGAGGAAGGGATAAGCCTGCCTTGGCCGCATGGCTCGGTGGTTGTACATCCCCTGCCCACTCCTACCTACGATGCCAGAAGTCACCGTCCCGTTCAGCCAGGGCACGTGCTAGGCGGCGGGCTGGGCCCCAGCGGAGGGCATGCAGGGGCAGCGAGCGACCGATGACTCGTTATCTTTCTCTCTCCCTTCCTCTCTGCAGTCAGTAAAGAAATTTTTTCTAACAGGATAAACCTGACAGCGCCAGGGGCACCAGGGAAGGGGACCGTCTCCGTCCTCACGGCGCCGTGTCCTCACCCAGGCCAGGGACTCTCCACTGTGACCACAGCCCCTCAGGCCTTCGAGAGCAGGAGTGGCCAGAGCAGGCTGCTCCCCTTCCGGCCCCAGGGGCTGGGGGCCAGCACAGGGCGGAGTCCTGCCCACTCCCACCCCGTAAGGAGGTGCTGGGCTGCTGGACGCTACACGGGGAACGGAGGCAGGGGGATAGTTCCTGCACAGCAAGGACAACAGGGAACACAAGCCTCCATGGCCACGCCTCAGTGGCAGTGTGTGTGTGTGTGGGGGGGGGCTGGACATCCTCCTCGGACCACACACTGAGCTCTGTCACGTTTTGCGGAATCCCCACCCGCCACCCTTCAAGCACAGCCCTCGTGGCCTCCCGCCCCCATGGCCCTCGCCTGTGTGCTCCTCACCCTCCAGGCTTGAAGGGTCAACGGAATCTGCTCCACGTGGAGGCAGGTTTCTGCTTCGGTTCCGAGGACACAGCCTGTCTTCTTGTGATGGGGACGCCCCAAAACCACAAGGGGCCCAGGAGCTGCCATCTGACAGGTAAGCTTGCAGGGTGCGGGTGGCATGACGAAAGCTTCAAGCACAGGGCTAAGCTGGAACCGCCCTTTGCCCCCTCCAGCCCGCAGGCAGCAAACCCCATCGATGGAGGATGCAACCTACTTTTCAACAACATGCTGACCCCCTGGGTGAGTGACAGCAGCGCAGGCCAGAGGTGGAGGGGGTCCTGACTCAGAGCACAGTGAGGACCAGGCCTGCACCAGGGCAGGAGCCGACTCCGAGCTGTGAGCACTCACACCACGTATGACAGGGGCACCTATACACAAACGCGTTACCCGCACCACGGCTGTGGGCACTGCAGGAGACAGGAGGCTCCCCGGGCAGCCGGCCCGAAAAGAAACTCGCGCGAAGCCGGTTCACCAGCAGCGGGGCTGGGGGATACAGCCCGCCCACAGCCCACTGCCACGCCCACTAGCCCGGCCACCCTCTGCCTCCATGAAACACTGTTAGCCCTCCCGAGGACAGCTGTTCTCACTGGGTTTTATGAGTTGAGGGGAGGGAGGAAAGCATCAACAGGAGACCACTGGTTGTCTCCTGCAGGCACTCCAATGAGGGCCTGAGATCCAACCTGCAGCCCGGGGACCGGCCCTCGGCAGGGAGCCAGCCCCACTGCAGAGCGGGGGCAGCTCTCACCAGGGCACACGGCCCCGGGAACCCAGACCATCCAAGGGCATCTTCTCACGAGAAGCTCCTCGCTACCCACCTTACAGCCTGTCTTCCAAGTGAAATGCAGTGGACAGGGACATGGTGCACGCGGCAAAGCGGGGGCGTGCCCGGCAGTGGGCTCCCAGCCCAAAACCACCCAGGAGGATGTAAGCCAGGTCTGTGGCTACACTGTGCCCGCACCCCCCCCCCCCCCCCCGGGCTCTCAGGGTGCCGGAACCAGTACACACTGGGGGGCGGGGGGGGGTGTGTGTGTGTGTGAGCCCGAGCCAGTGTGCCCTGTCCGTTCACAGGGACGGGATGGGCACTGAGCCAGTGCACGCCGTGGTCAGCTCACAGGGACGGAGGGGGAGTCTGAGCCACTGTGCGCTGGGGAGCATGGGGAACAGCTCACAGCTCACGGAGGCGAGTGGGAGAGGGGAAAGGGAGGGGAGGGGGGAGGGGGAAGAGGGGGGAGGGGGAAAGAGGAGGGGAAAGGGGAGAGAGGGGGTGGGAAAAGGGGGAGGCAAAGGAGGGGGGGAAGGGGGAAGGGAAAAGGGGAGGGGAAAGGGGAAGGCGAAGGAGGGAGGGGAAGGGGGAGGGAGAGGGGGAGGGGGAGGGGGAGGGGAGGGGAAAGGGGGGAGGGGGAGGGGAAGGAGGGAGGGAAAGGGGAAAGGGGGAGGGGATGGGGAGGGGAGGGGAAAGGGAGAAGGGGAAAGGAGGGAGGGGAAAGGGGAGGGGGAGGGGAAAGGTACCCGAGCCAGTGCACACTGCACCATTGAAAATTAACCACCTTGTCATCTGACTTGAAGTCCAGGAAGGAGACACGGACTAGGCGTCGAGAAGGGATGCAGAATGCCCGGCGCCTGCTGCTCCCCTCGGGGCAGTATGGGAGTAAAGCCTGGGGCCTCGGCCTGTCTCTGCCGTCATTTCCAAGGACCGCAGTTCTTATGCCAGCGCAGGGCAGGGCCTGGTGGTGCGGCGGTGCTTAGAGCCTGCCCTACACCGAAGGGTCATGGTTCCTTTCCTGGACCAGGGCACAC